TATAGGTAACTACTTGCTTTTCTCTTGCTGCTTTTAATATTCTGTCTTTGTCTTTTGCTCTTGGAATTTCAATTATGATGTGTCTTGGTGTGGTCCTCTTTGGATTCCTTTTGTTTGGGGTTCTGTGCGCTTCCTGGACTTGTGAGTCTAATTCTTTCACCAGGTGGGGGAAGTTTTCTGTCACTATTTCTTCCAGTATTCTTTTGGTATCTTGCTCTCTCTCTTCTTCTGGGACCCCCATAATTCTGATGTTGGTTTGCTTGAAGTTGTCCCAGAGGTTTCTTACACTATCTTCAACTTTCTGGATTTTCTTGTCTTCTTGCTTCTGCGGAGGAGTGTCCTCTGGCTCTTTGTGTTCCAAATCTTTGACTTGATTCTTGCGATCTTCCATTCTGTTTTTAGGACTCTGTATAATATTTTTTATTTCAGACAATGTATTCTTTATTTCTAGTTGATCCCTTTTCATATCCTCATAGGTCTCATTTATTTTATCGGCCTTTTCTAGGAAATTCTTGAAAAACCTTAAAACCGTGGTTTTGAACTCTATATCCTTCATTTTTTTCGTTTGTGATCTGTTTCCTTGTTTTGGCATTTTCGCTGCTTCCCTGAGTTAGTAGGGTGGCTTTGTGTGCTAAGGTGTCCTATATGGTTCAGTGGGTCAGCCTCCCGATTACCTGAGGTGGACACTCTTGGTGCATCCCTTTGTGGACTGTGTGTACAGCCTTGTTGTAGTTAAGTCTTGATTGTTGTTGGTATCACTGGGAGGAACTGACCTCCAGGCCAATTGGCTGTGAGAATTAGCTGTGTCTATGCTAGGAGACAGCCTTATTTGACTAGACTTGGGAAATTGCAAAAGCCTCTGTTCTCAGCTTGGATGGGGCGGAGTTTCAGGGTGGAGCCTACAGCCTTGGCTTCCTGTCAGCCCTGTTCTATGAGGTTCCTGAGTCTCAGTGTTCCTCAGTGTCCTTCGGTACTTGCTGCCGAAGCACCTCTGAGAGAAAGATGCCCTCAAGTTTCGCCCACTACCAGACAGTCTAGTCTCTCCGCTAATGAGCCTGGAACTGGGGTTGGAAGTGGGGTTCAGAGCAGTCCAGAGCTTTTGTCTCCTTCCTGCTATGGCAATCCAGTGGCACAGTTAACAGTTCATCCTCTGCGCGCAACGTGCGTGCCTCCTGGACTGCCTTTTGTTGCTCCCCTGAGTTTCCGCCTTACAGCCCAGACTCCCTCCATATGAGCCTAGGTCCCCAAGTTCCAGCCTAGAACTGGGGTTCAGTGCAGTCGGAACTGGGGCTCAGCACAGTCCAGAGCTTTTGTCTCCTTCCCACTGGGGCAATCTGGCAGCAGAGTCAACAGTCCATCCTCTGCATGCAACGTGCGCACCTCCAGGACTGCCTTTCGCCGCTCCCCTGAGTTTCCGCCTTACAGCCCAGATTCCCTCCATATGAGCCTGAGTCCCTAGAGTCTCTCACAGAACTGGGGTTCAGTGCTGTTGGAACTGGGGTTCATCACAGTCCAGAGCTTTTATCTCCTTCCCGCTAGGGAACGCCAGCCAGGCACTCAGCCGCCCTTCCTCTCTGGCTCTGTCCTCTCCCCGCGCGCACAATGTCTCTGTACCTTAGGCTTTTACAGCTCCTCTGATTTTCCTTCTGGTTTTTTCTTTCCTTATAGTTGTAGAATTTCTAGTCAGTCAACTTTCCTGTAGTTCTGGTTAATGTCCATTTTGTATTTTAGTTGTATTTTTTTGAAATTGTTGTGTGAGGCTGCAGTTAGGTGTTTACCTATGCTGCCATCTTGGTTTCTTGCTAGCTTTATATTAAATGTATAGATTTGGAATTTATTATATCTTTTGAATTTTGGGATAGTTTAACAGGATGGATTCCTACTTCACTCATAAAACCATTGGGTGTGGTATACTGATTGGTTTGTCTCATTTTTCTCAAGCCCATTTTAGTGGTTTATTTTGTCAACAGACGTCTCCTGTCAGATGTGATCTTTTGGCATTAGATTGCACACACCATTGACTAGCATCTGGTGTCCTCTGGCATCTGGTGTTCTTTGCATCTGGTGTGACACTGCTTTGCCAATTCTCATGCTGTGTATCCGCGTCTGTGTGTTCTTGGGTTGACTTTTTAGAGGTTTGTCTGTTTTGTTTTGTCTTTTCAAAGAATTGTTTAATTTTTTGCTTTATCATTTCTGTCAGGCTTTTTCTTTAAGATTCACTAGTTTTTGTGTTAGCCATCCTCTCGTTTTCCTGTTTCAGCAGATTGTGTGGCTGCTGGGTTTGGGCCCAGCCTTTCTGAGATGTGAAGAGGGCTGCTCCTCCTGAGGTCTGAGCACTGCTGAGAGCCACAATACACTCAAATCCCTTGTATCTTAATTTAAAATTTTTGTTTTGTTCAATGTTTTTTCTCTTCACCCCCTGAGAGGCAGTGGTCAGGTTCTCTGAAGGCTGTGGCTATGCCACTTTGTCATTGTAGCACTCAGGGCTTTGCTTTCCTGTCTTGTGTTTTTTTGGTAGGTAAAGTTTCATGGCTCTTCTTTCTTGATGTTGTTTCCTTTAAAATATAAAATATCCTTTTTTTTCCTCCTGTTTAGTTCTTTTTATCTGATATTTATATTTCTTATAATGCCCTTTTTTTGTTAGCATTTCCTTGGTAACTATATATATAAAAGCCTAAGCGTCCATTGCAACCAAATAGACGACCAAACAGGCTGAGTGGGGCGACCAGACCGGCAGGGGGGTTAGTGAGGGGCGATGGAATGACCAAACAGCGGGTGCATGGGGTGACCAGGCCTGCCAGGGGGTGGGGGCAGTTGGGGGCGACCAGGCTGGCAGGGAGGGGGCAGTAAGGGGTGATCAGGTCGGCAGGGAGGGGCAGTTGGGTGCGACCAGGCTGGCAGAGGGGCAGTAAGGGGCGACCAGGCTGGTGGGGGGGCAGTAAGGGGCGACCAGGCAGGCAGGCAGGTGAGCAATTAGGAGCCAGTGGTCCCGGATTATGAGAGGGATGCCCCGGATTGGAGAGGGTGCAGTCTGGGCTGAGGGACCCCCCCAACCCCTCCCCCATGCATAAATTTTATGCACTGGACCTCTAGTTCTTTGATAATTCCCAGATGTTTTTCGTACTTAACCAGTGGTAAGTCTAGCTGCTTATTACCCGCTGTCATATAGAGACCCTTGGCATGTTTTGTCTTATTTCCCCTACAATGGTTTGCTAGTTCTATAATCTTATTTCTTTTTTTTCATGGTCGTGCCAGAGTAGCAAATATGAGTCAGTAAGTGGGCATAAATGGTTTATAAATGTATTTCAATGTATTTTTCTCTTGTGGTTAAGAAATTAAACTGTATCAATCTCCTAAGCCCCATTCTACTTTTGGACAGGGTAGGATTTTTAGTACTCTTTTATTTTCCCTTATTCTCACTCTAGATTTTTTTAAACTAAACTGGAATTATAGTAACACTTAATATATCCCTTTTATATTTTAAATTTTCAACAGTTTTTATAGTATTTAACAGTTTTAATATTTACTTAATTATTGTTTTAATAATTTATTTTAAGAACTGGAACGTATATTACATGTAATTTTCCCTTAAAATTCTTTTTCTTTTATGGTAAAGTTAGAGGCAGTGTTGTATAACATTAGTTAATAAGCTTTAGAATTGGCTGCCTTCCTATATTCAAATCCTGACTCCACCACTTCTCAGCTGTGTGACCTGATATGTTATTTACTGATTCTGAGCTCATTTCCTTATCTGTGAAGTGGGGTTAGGAATGGGGCCTCTGTCTCTCAGAGACGCTTTGAGCACGCCGTCTGTGATGAGCTTTCTGGCCTACCGTCTACGGGCTCACTGTGCTCTCTGGGAGACTGCAGCCCTGCGCTGGCCCACTGCCGCCCACTGTACCAGCCCGCCTCCTGCTGCTTATGTTCTGCCCCTGCCTGTCCGAGGTGGCATTTCTCTCCTCTCAAGCATGACTGCTTCTTCGGATCAGTGCAGAGTTCCCGGGTCACTGCTTTCCCCTAGAATTATGGAAAGATTTTCCAGTTGTTTTCTGAAGAAACTTATTAAATGTATTTGTATTGATTTCAGAGATGAAGGGAGTGGGTGAGAGAGATAAAAACATCAATGATGAGAGAGAATCATTGATCAGCTGCCTCCTGCACGCCCCACACTGGGGTTTGAGCCCTCAACCCAGGCATGTGCCCCGACCTGGAATCGAAACGTAATCTCCTGGTTCATAGTTCAGTGCTCAACCACTGACCCATACTGACCAGGTTGTTTTCTGAAAATTTTAATGTTTCCTAAAATATATTCAACACAGTTAGTCCTTCCTCAGAAGGAAATCGTTTTTTGTTCTAACTAAAAACTAGAGTAGTTTCTCTTATTTTTCTTTATTTTTAGAGTTCAGACATCTAATAGGTATTTGCCTAGGTCTGCGGCATTTTCCATTGTTTCCTTCCACCGACACTCTTGGATGTTTTGCTTTCTATACCCAAGTCTCTCCTCAGATTTTTTTCTACCTTTAAAAAAAAAAGATTACTTTTATATTCTTTCGACTCTATTCTCCTGGAATTCATGCCATAAGTTGTTAGAACTCCTGGATTTGTTTATCTTGTCTTGTTGGCTTTTCTAGCTTTTTTATTAAAATAAATCACTTTCTATCTACCTTGTTGTTTTAAGTTTAACAAGGGTTGACACAAAGGTTTTGGAAAATTAAAAATTGAGTGTTTGTATGTTATAATTTATTTAGTCTTCTTTTGAGCCCTTTCCCCCAATAATGACTACTGGTATGTTAGTACTTGCTACTTACAGATGAATGAAACCTGCAGTAACCTGCCATTGCTGCTAATGTATAACTACAATTGTCTGCATTGTGTTTGTATACATATTCATAAAGTTCTTTAGATTGCACAGTGATAGGAAGATTGTCATTTTAAGAGTCATGCTTATTTAATTTAACTTTTTATTTAAAACTTGCTTTTCCATTTAATTATCATTTTAGGAGAAACTAATTCGAGATATTGCTCATTGTCACGGAATTTTGATCACTTCTTACTCCTACATCCGACTGAGGCAAGATGATATTAGTAGGCAGGACTGGCACTATGTGATCTTGGATGAGGGACACAAAATTCGAAATCCAAATGCTGCCATCACCCTTGCTTGCAAACAGGTATGACCTCTTGGAACAAGGGGGATTTCTAGGTGGGTGATAATATTTACTTGAGAATAAACTCCCTGATTTTAGTAACTCATTTATTAAATCTTTCCTTGTGTCTTTGCATAAGGAATTTGAAATATACATTTAGTTTTAATACAGACAACTCTTCATTCTTGCTCTTAGTCTTGTTTTTTTTTTTAAATTCTAATTGCTCATACAACTTAATATCTTTATATAGATCAGTTGTTAGAGTGTATCCGAATCTAACTCAAATCCATAGTATTCAGCTAGAACAATAAGAAATAATTCTTCTCTTATGTAATTGAAGAATTAAAATTTTGTAAAATGTCTCCTGTGTTCTGGAAAGACCAAAATGATACTAAATATGTTAAATAACAAAATAGAGTGGGAGTGTTTTGGGGTAAGGTCGGTGATCATCTGTTAAGAGCTGAATTTAATAAGAAAATATTTTTTTTCCCAAAATAGTTCCGTACTCCTCATCGCATCATCTTGTCTGGCTCACCAATGCAGAATAACCTCCGTGAGCTGTGGTCGCTCTTCGACTTTGTCTTCCCAGGGAAGCTGGGCACGTTACCTGTGTTTATGGAGCAGTTCTCAGTCCCCATCACTATGGGGGGATACTCAAATGCCTCCCCAGTACAGGTAACACTGCTAATATTTCTATATTTCAATATTATACTTCATAGTGAATCTATTTAGAAATGAGGGAAATGGCCAAGCCTATAAATTAGTATCTAATAAAAATCACAAAATTATATTTGCTTAATAGCTCATATTTTTCCAGATGATTTTTTAAAAATCACATAAAATATTTGAGAGCATGCCGAAACCAGTTTGGCTTAATGGACAGAGCGTTGGCCTGTGGACTGAAAGGTCCCGGGTTCGATTCCCATCAAGGGCATGTATCTTGGTTGCGGGCACATTCCCGGTAGAGGGTGTGCAAGAGTCAGCTGATCAATGATTCTCTCTCATCGATGTTTCTAACTCTCTATCCCTCTCTCTTCCTCTCTATAAAAAATCAATAAAATATATTTAAAAAAGAAATTTGAGAGCAGTCAAATTATGAAACAAGAGTGACTCAATTCCGGACAGCATATAATTTAGTGCAAATTGGGTAGTACATCTTATAAAGTATAAAGTCTTGGGAAGGGGAAACCAGAGAAAAATGATCAGGGAAGACTTAATGCGACAGGTATTCTTATCCTGATTTCGGGAAAACAGGCCCGAGAACAAGGCAACAGCCACCTTAGGTGGCCATGGGCAGTGTAGAGACAAACTTGACTGGCCTGGAGGTGCTTGTGGGGAAGCACCAGGAAAGCTCTGAGTTCTGGAAAGGGGAGCCTTGAAAGGGAGGCAGAGGCACTCAGGCAAGGAAGAGCCACCGAGGCTGTCTGAGCGGAGACGGGAGAGGGCTGTTCTCCCAGGTTCTCAGGCTGCAGGTGTGATCTCAGCCTGCAGGTGGGTTCTCAGGCTGCAGGTCAGGTTCTCAGGCTGAAGGTCAGGTTCTCAGGCTGCAGGTGTGATCTCAGCCTGCAGGTGGGTTCTCAGGCTGCAAGTCAGGTTCTCAGGCTGCAGGTCAGGTTCTCAGGCTGCAGGTCAGGAACTCAGGCTGCAGGTGGGTTCTCAGGCTGCAGGTCAGGAACTCAGGCTGCAGGTGGGTTCTCAGGCTGCAGGTCAGGTACTTAGGCTGCATTGAGGACCCTGTAGGACTCCTGGGGATGAGGGTGATGAGGACCTGGACCTGGGTGGTGGTGCTGAGAAAGAAGGTGGAGAGCAGGGCCTATGGAGGCAATTTTTTATAGGCAGAACAAATGAGATGTGGAGGCTGCCAAGATAAGAAATGGGATAGATGGTGGTGAGCTTGCTGCGGAGCCCTGAGGTTTTAGGCCTGGGAGCCTGGGAGAATGGGGTTGTCACAGGCATGGACAGCTGTCCTGAGAGCAGGCCCCCTCCTGGGTGAGAGGCAGGGCTTCTGCACAGCCCTCAGGGGGGGCTGCACCATCAGGTCAAGGCTGAGCCTCGACAAAAAGCCTTTCACCAAAAGAGACATTCACATGTTTGAGATACTTGATTAAAAATAGAATTTTAGATCTTTACTATCAGAGGATTGTTCAACAATAATTTCAATACTTTTTACATTTTGAGAATGAATGATTTTTAATTAACTATTGTAAGGGCTCTTTTCCTCCACTGAATCCTTCTTGTTCTTTATTTATAGTTTTTTTTTTTAATTTAAAAATAATATCTTTAAAAAAGCATGTCTTTATTGATTTTAGAGAGAGAGGAAGGGAGATAGGGAGAGAGATAGGACCATCAATGATGAGAGGGAATCATTGATCGGCTGCCTCCTGCTCGCCCCCCTACTGGAGATTGAGCCTGCAATCCAGGCATGTGCCATGACCTAGAATCGAATCATGACTTCCTGGTTCATGGGTAGGTGCTCACCATTGAGCAAGATCCCCTGACGGGCAGTGACATCATCTGACAGGCTTTTTAGGCCAGAAATAATTTCAAGTTCAACAGAACTTAGAAAAAGCTACAATTGTTCGTGTTTAGCTAACGTTTTGCCATATTTGCTCGATCTTCTCTTTCCTCCCTCCTCGCCACCTTTATCTGCACACAGATTTGTTTGTTTCTGAATCATCTGAGAGCAAGTTGCAGATGATACTCTTTTCTCTAAATCCTTCAGTGTGTATTTTTTAAGAACAAGGACATTTTCTTAACAGAACCACAGCATAAACATGACAATCAGGAGGAAATATAATGTTGATAGAATTTTGTTATGTAACGTGTATGTCATTTACATTTTGCCAATTCTGATATTATCTGTGTCTCTTTAGTCTCCTTTAATTTTGGACAGTTCCTCTAACTTCATATGCCTTTTGATTAACTTGGCATTTTGAAGACCATAGGCCTGTATTTTTTTTATAGAATGTGACTCACTTTGGGTTTGCCTTTCATTCTTTGTGATTGGATTCAGGTTTTGCATTTTTTGGCAAAAATATCACAGAAGATAAACACACATACATGCACATACATGTATACATACTTGAGGTATTCATAGGATCTTTTAATTGTTTTCATTTTTACCATGTTAAGTTTGTAACATGAATTTTTCTGTATTATGATCAACCGCTCATTTTGCAGCTAACTTTCTTAAAATTAAGCTTTAGTTAGAATTTTTCTCTTTCCATTAAATAGCGATTCAGTAGGTTGTTAAGCCTATGTAGATTTTTTAAATATCAATAATTTATTGAAGTCTTTGTTTGCCTTTAAATAAAATGCAGAGTGGTTTCTGTGCTGTGGGCCTTTGTTTTTCTACGTAGTTAATATCGTCTCATGTGGTTGCTCCATTACAGAGCCATATGCTCCGTGGCAGACCTGAGCGACCTTTCATTTCTGGGATCATAGGGCTTGTCTTGAACTCACTTTCTGAAGTCTCCAAAGGGCAGTAATCTCTGCTGATTATCTGGCTGCCTCCACTGCTGCAGCTTCCCTCCGGTTGCCTTTTGATCTTCAGCTTGCAGAGTAGCCATCCTCTTGTAGCTTTTGGAGAATATGAGATTGCAAATAGAGATTTGTTTGCAAGCAGTTTTTTCCCTAGAGGTTGTTTGGAAACCAAATAAATCTCTATTTTGGGGTTTAACTATACAGTAATAATTAAAGCAAAGTATAGAAAATGACTGGCTGTTCTTTTGCTTTTACTTTGGTTAATAAGGTGTGTTTTTTACTGATATTATGAAAGCTTCCACCTCCTGGAACATATTGGACTTACACTAATTTTTTCAAACCATTTCCAACTAATTTTGTATAATCATTGGTCATTCTTTTTTTAAGCATTGGAATTAATTGAGAGTTAGGAACAAATGCATTCCTTAAACATAAAGTAATTGTGTCTCCTTTTGTCTTTCTAAAGGTTAAAACTGCTTATAAGTGTGCATGTGTCTTACGAGATACCATAAACCCATACCTTCTACGGAGAATGAAGTCAGATGTCAAGATGAGTCTTTCTTTACCGGATAAAAATGAACAGGTCTGTAAATCTAGGAGTTATCAAAGTATTCCTAAAGCATGGTGTACCTCTCTGTACTTGTTTCAGATGCGGAATTGGTGAGGGTGATAGGTGTGGTTGAGAGGCTGTGGGCAGGCTGATCTACATCTGTATATACAGGTGTGTGATAGGGCCACTGGGCTTGGGGAAGACTTGAGAGGAAATTCACAGGAAGATCCCCTGATGGGCAGTGACATCATCTGACAGGCTTTTGAGGGATCATCCTTCTAAATTTCACCTTAGTGTCATATTATCTCAGTAGATGACCACACCTTCTGTTCAGCATCTAAAAATAAAGGCCTTGTAGATTTTGAGTATTGAAACTCTAAAGGATCTGGGAGATTGGTCATCAAGGCTACTTTCATGGCCACCTCTTTGCTTCCCAGCACAACTCCTCTCCAGATTTAGTTGTGGTCTTAGCACTCCCTACAGGCTCCCACCCCTGCTGGCCACTCAGGCCACAGCTCTCCGCCTGCCTCCGATTCCCCATCAACCAGTGGCTGTGGTGATTCATTCTCTCCTCTGCTTCACATCCTCAGAAGTCAGTGGGGTCGTCCGATGGCCTGCCCATCGGCACTCCCCAGTACTCTTTGAGAAGACTGGGGAGAGTTGCTGGATACCTTCTATATCCCTCTCCTCACCAAGAATACCGATTTAATATATTTGCAACACTATTTTTACTGTGTAATCCTAGAATGCCTCCTGTATTCCATGCAGGAGCCAAGGCAGATTGCTTCCAATTTTTAAAAAATGCCCCACTTTCCTCCCATTTGCACCTGAGGCCCCTCTGCCTGAAGGTTTTCCCACCCCTCCGCAAGCGCACACAGAGGTTCCACTTGGGGGCCTCACCAGGCTCCACTGGAGCCTCTCCTAGGCTGGACTCCGAGGGCGGGATTTTGTCTTTCCCATCATCAGGTTCTGCATGACACCTAAAACAGATTTGCAGACTCTAGGCACCTGATGAATAATTTGTGCAATTAACTTGCGATTGAGATGAGAGGCTTTTCTGTTGCCATTTTTAAAGGAATGAAATATGAATTTAAGAAATTAAGAATTATAAACACTCAGGTTCTGTTTTTGAAGGATTACTCAGGTGGTGTTTGCAAACATTGAAGAGGAAAGAAAATGGAGGATGAGAAGGAGTTAGCCAGTCCCTGCAGAGTCCTTGGGAGCAGAGGTGTGGGCCTGGCCTGAGGCAAGGGGGCATCATGGGAGGTGAGCCTCCCAGCATGTGGTGGCTAGGATGGAGCAAACTCTGAGCACCTGGTCCTGAGCTCTCCTGTGAGCAGGAAGCCAGTCGTCAGGGAGTCTCAGGACAGTGGGGTGGGGACCAGGAGGTGGACAGGTGACAGAAATAGGGGTTGATGAGAGGTGGGAACTGTACTCATTCCTCAGTTCTGAGATATGGCTTCATTTTGTTTTTTTTTAAACAAGAGATACATTGTTAAAATTGCATACATTGTGCTGTTGGATTAGGAAATTTAATTGATATTTTAATTATTTTATTCTGTTAAAATGTTTTTTGAAATTATAGTGATTTTTATTTTTTTTTAAATTTTCTCCCCCATAGGTCTTATTTTGCCGTCTTACAGAAGAGCAGCATAAAGTCTACCAAAATTTCATTGATTCCAAAGAAGTTTACAGAATTCTCAATGGAGAGATGCAGGTCAGTAAAGTGAGAGAAGCTAGAGACAGGAAGGGAAGCGGGAAAAGAATGGATACCAGCACCAGTCAGGGGTTCACTGTCTCTCACTCTCTCTCTTTTATTTTTATTTTTTTTGTTTATTTAAACCTTATCTAAGGAATATTTTTCCATTGCTTTTTCAAAGAGAGAAGAAGGAAAGGGGAGAGAGAGAGAGGGAGGGAGGGAGGGAGAGAGAAGGAGAGAAACATTGATGTGACAGAGACACATAACTGGCCCCTGCACACATACTGACCCGGGTGTGGGGAACAAACCTGCAACCCAGGGACATGCCCTTTACCAGGAATTGAACCCATGGCCCCTTATGCACGGCCCACACTAACCACTGAGCCATGACTGCCAGGGCATCACTGCTATACTCTTTTTAATATAATAAATCTTTATTGTTCAAATTATTATAGGTGTTCCTCTTTTTTCATCCCCATAGCTCCCCTCCACCTGATTCCCCACCCCATACCCTAACCCCTGCCACTGTCTTCATCCATAGGTATAAGATTTTTGTCTAAACTCTTCCTATACCCCTCAGACCTCCTTCCTCCTGAAAATTGTCAGTCCAGTCCCTTTCTATGCCCCTGATTCTATTATATTCACCAGTCCATTCTGTTCTTCAGATTTTTTATTCACTTGATTTTTAAGATTCACTTGTTGGTATTTGATGTCGTTTTGTTGTTCATAGTTTTTACCTTTACCTTTTTCTTCTTCCTCTTCTTAAAGAATACCCCAGCATTTCATGTAATCCTGGTTTGGTGGTGGTGAACTCTTTTAGTTTTTTCTTGTTTGTGAAGCTCTTTATCTGACCTTCAATTCATTCAGAATTGAAGGTCAGATAAAGAGCTTCACAAACAAGAAAAAGCTAAAATTTTGCTGGGTAATTTTGGTTGTAGGTTCTTCACTTTAATATTTCTTGCCACTGTTCATCACTTTAAATATTTCTTGCCACTCCCTTCTGGCCTGCATAGTTTCTGTTGAGAAATCAGCTGACAGTTGTATGGGTACTTCCTTGTAAGTAACTAACAGTTTTTCTCTTGCTGCTTTCAAGATTCTCTGTCTTTTGCCCGTGGCATTTAATTATGATATGTCTTGGTGTGGTCCTCTTTGGATTCCTTTTGTTTGGGGTTCTTTGTGCTTCCTGGACTTGTAAGTCTATTTCTTTCACCAGGTGGAGGAAGTTTTTGGTCATTATTTCTTCAAATAGGTTTTCAGTATCTTGTTCTATCTCTTCTTCTAACACCCCCATAATTCAGATATTGGTACGCTTGAACTTGTCCCAGAGGCTCCTTACACTATCTTCATATTTTTGGATTTTTTTTTGTCTTTTTGTTTTTCCGGTTGGATGTTTTTTGGCTTCTTTATATTTCAAATCTTTGACTTGATTCCCGTGATCCTCTAGTCTGCTGTTGGATCTTTGTATATTATATTTTATTTTAGTCAGTGTATGCTTAATTTCTAGTTGGTCCTTTTCATATCCTCAAGGGTCTCACTAAATTTATTGGCCTTTTCTAGAAAATTCTTAAAAAACCTTATAACCATGGTTTTGAACTCTATATCCAATCATTTGCTTTCCTCCATTTAATTTGTGATCTGTTTCTTTTTCTCCGTATTTTGGCTGCTTCCCTTGTTGATATAGTGGCTTTGTGAGTTGATAGAGTGGCTTTGTGTGCTAGGTGTCCTATAGGGCCCAGTGTCTCAGCCTCCCAAGTTACCTGAGATGGACACTCTTGATGCACCCCTTTGTGGACTGTGTGCACAGTCTTGTTGTAGTTAAGCCTTGTTGTTGGTATCACTGGTGGGAATTGACCTCCAGGCCAACTGGCTGTGAAGATCAGCTGTGTCTACGATGGGAGAACTTCTGTGCTGGAGACACCCTTATGAGGCAAGACTTGCTTCAGTGGGGCTTTGGTACTCACTGAGAATTCCTCTTGAGTATATCCCTTATGGATTTAAGGAGTTTTAATCTTGATGGTCCTACTCTGACCCCTGGGTACACTGGCTCTTGGATTTCCAAGGAGGTGCTCATTTAGCCTCAGCCTGAGGCCACCCAGCAGAAGCTATGGAGATATCTGCAGATTCCTCTTCTTTGTTTGGGTTTTGGAGGTGCTCAGATGAGGCCCAGCTGTAAAATAATGCAAGCTGCTGTGGGGCCTTGGGCCTTCTTTTGGATGTTCTGGGTCTCTCTGACTTAGCTGCAGTTTATTAGATAAGTTTAGATTTCAAAAGACCAGGCCATTCATATGCAAAAGCCATGTGCACAACTGAGGTGAGGCAGAGTCTCAGGGCGGAGCAAACAACAATGGCTTCCCATCAGCCCTTTCCTAAGAGGCCCTGGGTCTTAGTGTCTCATGGTAATCACTGCAAGCACCTCTGAGAGAAAGCCACCTTCAAGTTCTGCCCACTGCGACAGTCCAGTTTCTCCACGTATGAGTCTGGCTCCCCAGTGTCTCCTCTGAAACTGGAGTTCAGAGCAGTCGGGAGCTTGTGTCTCCCTGCGGATTGAAAAAGACAGCTGTGTATAATACTCAGTTGCCGGCCCTTTCTGCACGCACCTCCGTACCTCTGCACTTTACTTCCTCAGCTCCTCTTGAGTCTCAGCATGCTTTTCTCTTTCCTTCTAGTTGTAGAATTTCCACTTAGCCAGCCTTCCTGTTGTTCTGGATGATGTCCATTTTGTCTTTTAGTTGTAGTTTTGAAGTGGTTGTGCGAGGCAGCAAGTTCAGGTGTTTACTGTGCTGCCATCTTGGTTTCTCCTGACGTTTTTTATTTGTTCATAAAAGATGAGTCAGTTTTATAGATCAAGTTTTTCTGATGCTGTGAGCTCACACCTTTTCTTCTAGTGAGGGAAATGGATAATCAGTAATTGAATATGACCGCCACAGACATGTTTGGCCCAGTAGAATTTTTTTGTTTCTGGAGAACTTGCCCTATCAAGAAAAGAAGGTGAGTGAAGGCGGATTTCTTCTAGCTCCTCATATGCTGTGGTTAGGGAGGAAGCTAAGAAGCGAGTAAAGAATTCCTTCTCCGTATCCAACAGTCTCCTCCCCTCCTTCCTGAGCGACTGAGTTTACATCAAGTCCTCTAGAGTGCACATGTTCTTTTATGCCCTAGGTTTTCTCTGGACTGATAGCCCTGAGGAAGATCTGCAACCACCCTGATCTCTTTTCTGGAGGCCCCAAGACTCTCAGAGGCATTTCCGATAATGAGCCAGAGGAAGATCAGTTTGGATACTGGAAACGTTCTGGGAAAATGATCGTTGTTGAGTCCTTGTTGAAGATATGGCACAAGCAGGGCCAGCGAGTACTTCTGTTTTCTCAGTCAAGGCAGGTGAGCAGACAAAGCTCATGCAGGAGACAAATTGGTTCCTTACAGCTTATAATTAAAATACAGAATATAATCTAAAGTAATGATCCCCTCAGCAGCTCTACCTGCTGATACTGAGTTTGCAGCCTGTTAATCTCTTTGGGAGCTTAGATATCCCTCCCTCCCTCCCTCCCTCCTTCTCTCCTTCCTTCCCTCTCCCTCTCTCTAAATTTGGTGCCCAGAAGTTGGCTTTTTAAAAAGGCTTAGTTATCATGTGATTCTGGGTCTGAGCGAGTTTGGGCCTGAACTCAAGTAAATGCCCAGCTATTAACAAAACGTATAAAAATTAACAGGGAAATCCCAGAAATATTCATAGCAATTTATGTCCCTCAAAGCAAGAAACCCTTTTAATGTGACTGTTGGAAAGGTGTGGCTGTTTACACAGAAGTGTGCATTTAGTTTTTAAACTCTTATCCCCCATCCTCTTTCCCAAACAGATGTTGGACATACTTGAAGTCTTTCTTAGAGCCCAGAAGTATTCCTATCTCAAAATGGATGGTACCACGACCATAGCTTCAAGACAGCCCCTGATCACAAAATACAACGAGGTGACTGGTGATGCAGTGATGCCGAAGCTGCTGCTGGGTGCAGGGGCAGGCGTGCCACCGCCTGAGTGGCTGGGTCTGGGTTGGGCAGAAGGGGGAGGGGAATTTTTGTTTTTAAGTCTGTGCATTTCTGGATTACTGATGTGTGTATATTTTTTTCTTGAAAACCCAACTTTTACATGTCAACTAATATTGCTAGTAAGAGTGGGAGTGGTGAGATGGCATCTTTGACTGCCCAGGTCTCTAGTCCATAGCCCATGCCTATTATCAGGGCCATTTCTTGTGGGTGGAGAATGGGCGGCAGAGGTGAAGGGTCTCTCTGGTCCTGAGTGCGCGCACTCAGTGTTGTGTGTCTTACTCTAGGACACGTCCATATTTGTGTTTCTTCTGACCACTCGGGTGGGTGGCCTCGGAGTCAACCTGACGGGAGCCAACAGAGTCATCATCTACGACCCCGACTGGAACCCAAGCACAGACACGCAGGTCTGTTAATTTTTTAAAAGGAGTGTGTTGTGACATAGATGGCTTTTGAACAACACGGGTTTGAACTGCATGAGTCCACTTATCTGAGGCTTTTTAAAAATAAGTACAGTAAATGTCCTTTGTCTTCTTTAAGATTTTCTTTTCTCCAGCTTACTCTATTCTGAGATTTCAGTATATAGTACATACAACATACACGGTATGTGTTTACCGACTGGTTATGTTATGGTCAGCTTCAGCAGTGGGCTGTCAGTGGTTAAGCTTTGGAGTGAAGTTATCTCGGGTTTTTGTGCGGGCGGCAGTCAGTTATGGGCCCCACCTGGGTGTCCGCAGGGCCCTGTGCTCCGTGTTGCTGCTGGGCTTCTGTCTGAGGAGGACGCACTTCTGTTGTTCAGCCTCCATCGCCAGGTCTGGGAAAGGGAGTGCCACGGACTCACCGTTTTTCAGGCAGTTTGTCTTCCTAACGGGCCTGAGATGTGTCACTCATTAGCCAGCACTCTGACTGGGAGCAGAGGGCAGCACAGCCACCTCCCTTGGCCAGTGCTTGTCGTTGGGAGGCCCTGCTGACCCGTGCTCTCCGCCGCAGGCCCGGGAGCGCGCGTGGAGGATCGGCCAGAGGAAGCAGGTGACGGTGTACCGGCTCCTCACCGCGGGCACCATCGAGGAGAAGATCTACCACCGGTCAGTGCAGCTGGCCACTCTCCCGCGCGTGGGTGCGGGGCAGGACCACCGCGGGGCAGGCAGGCGTCTTTTATAAAGCAGCGGTTGCTGTAGTGAGGGATAATGTGGTTTTTGAATTTTTTGTTTTGTTTAAATATATATATATATTACTAAAATAAGCCTTTTAGTTTTTTTAATTTCTTTTTTTTTTTTTTTAACATATTTTATTGATTTTTTACAGAGAGGAAGGGAGAGAGACAGAGAGCCAGAAACATCGATGAGAGAGAAACATCGACCAGCTGCCTCCTGCACACCCCCTACTGGGGATGTGCCTGCAACCGAGGTACATGCCCTTGACCGGAATCGAACCCGGGACCTTTCAGTCCGCAGACCGACGCTCTACCACTGAGCCAAACCAGTTTGGGCCTTTTAGTTTTTTTAAATGGCTTATTGTGAGTTGTTTAAAAGGTGTCTTTGAACATGGTCATTGTTCTACTTTACTAAACTTCAAGACTGCTTCTGTTTAAACTTCATACTATTGTTATTTGAAAGAAATTTTCCTGTCTACTATAGTGTGCCATCTTTTTTTCAGAAAAATTTTAAGGCGTGACAGAATTGAAATGCTAACAATATTGCCGAAGCCTGTTTGGCTCAGTGGTAGAGCGTTGGTCTGCGGACTGAAAGGTCCCAGGTTCGATTCTGGTCAAGGGCATGTACCTTGGTTGCGGGCACATCCCCAGTGGGGGGTGTGTAGGAGGCAGCTGGTCGATGTTTCTCTCTCATCAACGTTTCTAACTCCCTATCTCTCTCCCTTTCTCTCTGTTAAAAATCAATAAAATATTTAAAAAAAAGAAAAAGAAAAAAAGAAATGCTAACAATATTGGTATTTACACATAGCATGTGGGTGTGATCGGTGTGGGTGTGAATAGAGTGGGTGTTCTGTTCACCTTGGCTCAGATGCCCATAGAGGAAGGTTGACCAGGACACCTGTTTCCTCCTCCGTTTCTGTGAAGAGGAGGGATTTGAGCAAGGAGCACTTACACAGTGGGATGGAGATTCTGCCAGTTTTGCCCTCTTCTGCTAAAGACTATTGAGCCACATCCCATGTGCTAGGCCACTTGTGGGACTGGGCATGTTCTTCAGGGGCCTGGCTGTGAGAGGGCTGGAGACCAGTTGAGTCCTGAGAGGGAGAACACTCGCTTAGAAATACACGCCTTCGCCTGAAGAATAAGCCATTGAGGGGGCAGGGCTGCTTTGTGGAGGGATCTGAGCCAGAGTGACAGTGGCATGGTCCTTTAGCATGGGTGTGGCTCAGTAGGTGGAAACTGGTGAGGTGGCTCCATGTGAAAACTTTGCAAAGCCCAGGCGGGGCTTGCTGAGCCCGTCACGGGAAGGGGCCCTGGTCCAGGAGTCCAAGGCTGGCTTTTGCAGCGTAGACAGGCTTGATTGTGTGGAAAAGGTGTTTCTTGAAGTGTGATGAATCTTGGAAGTTGCAGAAACCTATGGGGTAATGATAATAATAAGGCATTATTTCTAACTTTAATCTATAGAACATGGGAGACACTGATGTTTTGTGTACTTTTTGAATGTTAATGTCCAAGGCTAGAAGTTTTAGGCATTTTAATACCTGGATACCGCAGTTATCATCTCTCTCTTAACATTGGTTTATTATTAGCATTTGAGGTAGAGCTGAATATTGTTTCATACCAGTTTGCTTTTTATCTTTAGACAAATCTTCAAGCAGTTCTTGACAAATAGAGTGCTAAAGGATCCGAAGCAGCGGCGGTTCTTCAAGTCCAATGACCTTTATGAGCTGTTCACTCTGACCAGTCCTGATGCTTCCCAGGGCACTGAAACAAGTGCTATTTTTGCAGGTACTGCAGAAGGTCGTTTAACTTGAAGGAATAACTGAGATAAGAATTACAAAATGGAACACAAGTGTGTTTTTCCTTTTACAGGAACTGGCTCAGATGTTCAAACACCCAAACGCCACCTAAAAAGAAAACTTCAGCTGGCCTCTGGAACAGACCATAACATTCCAATATGCAACAAGTCCCCCGATCCTGATGCACCGGCCGGCGGTGACACAGCGTCAGCAGAGAACTCCGCAGCTGGAGGAGCTGCAGTAAATGCAGTGCCTTCTAACCAAGGGGGCCCTTTGCGAGAGGCCCCTCTGACGCCTGGCACTGAAGCTCGCAGTGACAGCCTTGCTGAGGAGACAGACGCGGTGGGTAGACTGGAGGACTTACCAGTGCCGAGCGCAGAGGGGCAGTGTGCATGTTCTCCAAGAACCAGTGGCACGGGCAGGACATCTGGCGGGGAAAGGATCGGCAAAAAGCAGGGTCTTGCTGGTAAAAGAGAAAGCTGCCAGGTCCGAACTGCGCCTCTTGGGGAGAATGGACAGACGGACAATGCCTTCTGTAAGCGCAAGTCGAAAACAAAGCACAGCGTGGCAGAAGAAGGAGCCCAGGAGACGCTTCTGAGGCCAGAGCCAAAGCCTAAGAGCTCCCGGTGCCGCAGAGACGCCAAGTTCGAAGGAACCCGAATTCCACACCTTGTGAAGAAAAGAAAGTACCGGAAGCAGGACAGTGAAAACGAGCATGAGAGCACACAGCAGAACCACGATGACTATGTTCTAGAAAAGCTTTTCAAAAAATCAGGTAATCCACTCTGGCCAGTGTTGGCTTAGTGGTTAATGTCAGCCCGTGCACCAGAGGGTCCGAAGTGCCATTCCTGGTCAAGGGCATGTACCTGGGTTACAGGTTCAATCCCCGGCCCTGGTTGTGGCATGTGCAGGGGGCAACCAATAGATGTGTCTCTCTCACATCATTGCTGCTTGCGCAGTCCTCCTCTCTCCTCCCTTTCATGCTATCTAAAAACCAACGGGAAAAAAAATATGCTTGGGTGAGGATTAACAAACAAAAGAAGTCAGGCTGTCCTGTGCTGAGTTTGCCATAAGTGTGCTGGGACAGGCATGCGCAGGCCGCTTCTAGCAGTAGCAGCCTCTGCTGACAGTGCTGTCTGCTGGAAGTAACTTTTTCTTCTGAAATTAAGATTTAAAATGTATTGACATTTTTGAAAACTATATTCACCTCTCCCTTTTGAAGACCTAGGATTTGAAACTTTGGAGAACGGTAGTACTTGACATAAGCACTTACGGGAGGGGTGCAATTCGTTAAATGATTTGTCTGGTCTGAACATTAATAGGAAACTTCCCTACATGTTATATTTATCTGATTTTCCAACCACAGGAGATTGCAGCAAGGTTGGGGAGGGGGTGTGTGTGTAATGGCCAGAGGCAGGTATCTAGAAGCAGGAAAGCTGATGGCTAATGTCAGGGGAGAACAATTAGGAAGGAGTCTCAGCAATGTGTCAGGACCCTGGGGACAGGCCGTCCTGCCAGCTTAGTTGTCAGAGGGGTGTGGTCCTGTTAGGCCTGAACTGAACATGTGGCTGGGATGGTCCTTTGTTCAAGGACTTAACGGCATTTCAGAGAGAAACCATGGGGCCTGATGCTTTCCTGTAACTTGTTATCGATCTGTTTTCCTAGCAAATTACCTGTTTTGTCTAGTTTTCAAGTTCATTTGCATAGAGACATAGAAAATACTCTTGAAATGTTTCTTTATAATTTACTTCTTTTTCAAGATAATTTCCCCCTTGTCATTTCTAATTTTCTATGTCCCCCACACACCTTCCTTTTTTCTTGATCAAGTTAAGCTAGTGGTTTATCTATTTTTTTTTCTTAGTAAATCAAGATTTTGATTTATTAATTAGATCCATGATTGTTCTCTACTTCAAAATTTTTGCTTTTATCTTCATTACTTTCTTCATTATGTTTTTGTTTTTATTGTGTTTTGGTGAATTTTTTTGCTTTTTATAAAACCACTTGACTTGAAAATATAATTTTTGTTTTCATTTATTTATTTATTTTAAATATTTTATTGATTTTTTACCGAGAGGAAGAGAGAGGGATAGAGAGCTAGAAACATCAATGAGAGAGAAACATGGATCAACTGTCTCTTGCATACCCCCTACTGGGGATGTGCCCACAACCCAGGTACATGCCCTTGACCGGAATCGAACCTGGGACCCTTTGGTCCACAGGCCGACTCTCTATCCACTGAGCCAAACGGGTTTCAGCGTATTCATTCTTATTGATAATAAATATTTAGGGCTATGAATTTTTTACTAGTAACTACATAAATCAGTCTAATATGTAATATTTTCATGGTTATTATATTTTAGAAATTCTATAATTCTGGTTTATATTTTTCCCTTCAATAAAAAATTGTTTTCTTTTGAATGATTCAGAAAGATAGCTTTATTGAAATATAATTTCTATACCATCCCATAGAAGGCTTTAAAATTCCCAGCTAGGTGGGAAGAGGTGATGGGGGTATGATCGCAGCATCACGCTTCCATCACTGTAAACAGGGACAGTGATAGGCCCTCGCTCACACCGTGGTGAAGGTAAGGAGCACAGCCTGTAAGTGTCTAGGTTTCAGTGAGTAAAAATACTCATTGTTTTCCTGCAACATGCTAGGCTGCAGAAGGAAAATGGCACTTGTTTCCCACCTGAACTAACATGTTTTCTGTTCCATGTTCTTGCTAGTTGGCGTGCACAGTGTCATGAAGCACGACGCCATCATGGATGGAGCCAGCCCTGACTATGTGCTGGTGGAGGCGGAGGCCAACCGAGTGGCCCAGGACGCGCTGAAGGCACTGAGGCTCTCCCGGCAGCGGTGTCTGGGCGTGGCGTCTGGTGTGCCCACCTGGACCGGCCGCCGGGGCGTCTCCAGGGCCCCAGCAGGAATAAGGTGGGAAGTACTGCCCTGCCGTCCTGGGGGAGGCCGGGCTGGGAGAGGCCGGGCTGGGAGAAGGCTGTGCTGGGAGAGGCCGGGCTGGGAGAAGGCTGTGCTGGGAGAGGCCGGGCTGGGAGAAGGCTGTGCTGGGAGAGGCCGGGCTGGGAGAAGGCTGTGCTGGGAGAGGCCGGGCTGGGAGAAGGCTGTGCTGGGAGAGGCTGGGCTGGGAGAAGGCTGTGCTGGGAGAGGCCGGGCTGGGAGAAGGCTGTGCTGGGAGAGGTCGGGCTAGGAGAAGGCTGTGCTGAGAGAGGTCGGGCTGGGAGAGGCCGGGCTGGGAGAGGCCGTCCCGGGGGAGGCCGGGCTGGGAGAGGCCGGGCTGGGAGAAGGCTGTGCTGGGAGAGGTCGGGCTGGGAGAAGGCTGTGCTGGGAGAAGGCTGTGCTGGGAGAAGCCGGGCTGGCAGAAGGCTGTGCTGGGAGAGGCCGTCCTGGGGGAGGCCGGGCTGGGAGAGGCCGGGCTGGGAGAGGCCGGGCTGGGAGAAGGCTGTGCTGGGAGAGGCCGGGCTGGGAGAAGGCTGTGCTGGGAGAGGCTGTGCTGGGAGAAGGCTGTGCTGGGAGAGGCCGGGCTGGGAAAAGGCTGTGCTGGGAGAGGTCGGGCTGGGAGAGTCGGGCTGGGAGAGGCCGGGCTGGGAGAAGGCTGTGCTGGGAGAGGCCGGGCTGGGAGAAGGCTGTGCTGGGAGAGGTCGGGCTGGGAGAGTCGGGCTGGGAGAGGCCGGGCTGGGAGAGGCCGGGCTGGGAGAAGGCTGTGCTGGGAGAGGCCGGGCTGGGAGAGGCCGGGCTGGGAGAAGGCTGTGCTGGGAGAGGTCAGGCTGTCTGCTGGGCATAGTCAGGGCAGGCATGAACAGTGGGAGGCCTCAGGGAGGGATGGCCAGCCAACTTGTGCGACTCAGAGAAACACGTTTGTAACCTCACTTTCTTCGCTTTTGTCGTGCTTCCCAAAGACAAGCTTTCAGGGTGAAGGAGAGCCGTTTTGTTAAAACCAGGAGGAGATGCAGAGTCACCGTTAAGCCTCATAAGACCTCTCGCCAGCTCCGCAGGCGGCGTGGCTGTGCTGCTCAGTCCGATCTCCTGGAAGGGCCTCCCTCCCTGGGGGAGGCAGTGGCCCGTGTGCTGAACACGCACATTGAGGGGCTCTTCCCAGGAGAATAAAGCAGAGGGAAGGCGGGGCCATGGCTGTGAAGGAAGAGGCTCGCAGAAAAACGTCTTCCAGGAAGAGTTCAGTTGTTGGAAAGGCATTTTCATCTCTTAGTCACAAAAACACTGTATCTGGTTCTTTCCTTGTTTAGGAGTAGATTTGGTCAGAAAAGGAATTCCAGCCTCTCTGTGCAGCGTCCTTCGACACCCTCACAGCAGAAATGCCAGGTAATGAGATCGCTGTCCGCTTCTCACCTGGGAGACTTGATTGCATTCCCAGGAAAATGTAACCCGATTCGGAAGTGAAAAAGTCACTGGCTAATAACACCTGCGATTTGTGCTGTCTGCTCTGATTTATGAACCCCTTTATTCCAATCTAAAAGGCCAGCTAACTTCCTAACAGAAAAAGTCTTTAACTCACGATCTGCAGCAAATTCTCTATTTGCCCTAAGAAAGTTAATGTGCGTGTGTGTGGGAGGGACGCAGGGAGGTGAGGTGGGGGCGGCGCAAGTCATACAGGGATAGGTGACAGGTGGAGGCATGGCCCCTGCAGCCTGCCGCACCCGGAGACTCAGTGCTTCCAAAGACCCCTGCCCTGCCCGCCGGAACAAAGGCCCAGGGCGCTTGGCACTCACCGGCTGCGGAGCTCCGACGGTCTCCGCCACGAAGCACCCAGGCCTCGGCCCTCAGTGCTCTCTCTGGGCCTCTGCTTAAGGGCTGTGCTGCTGACCTCTGGAACTGCCAGGTTCAGGCTCCTGTTTTACATGACTGCGAATAGAGAACCTTTGTTTGTAAGATAATAGATGTGAGGAATAAATTGTAAAGAGTAAAGTGACAGCAAGTGAGGAAGAGTACAGCTCCGTGTTGTTCCTGCCCCTAGACCGGGCTAGATTGGGAGGAAGAGAGAAGCCCCCGGAACTCCAGCTTCCCGGAGGCAGTTTCCTGGCGCCTGCTCCCAGCCCCTCTGCTCCCTCGTCCTCTTGGCGCAGAGTGCCCCAGTGCCTAGTGTAGCTGTGGGTGTTTCCTTGTTGATTTTAATGCGGCGGGTTTAGACGGTGACTCTCCTTTCCCTCTGGAGTATCGGGTGTTCCATTCTTCCCGGACTGGCCCCTGGCCCAGGCCCCACGGATTGTGTCCCTCAGAGCTCCGGGAGATAGCGGGCCCCAGTGAGACCTGAGACTACAGTGCCCTGCTCTTCCTTCTGCAGGACGGCACCGTGAAGAAGGACGGGAAAGACCTCATTTCGGAGCATTTTAGTGGAAACGTGGAAGCTATGGAGTCCTCGTCTGGGGCCCTCGCGTCGTCCTCTCTGTTGGCTAAAATGAGAGCCAGGAACCACCTGATTTTGCCGGAGCGGCTGGAAAGTGAGAATGTGTCTCCTCACGAGGCCGGCGCCCCGCCGCCCCCCTGCACGGAGCACGACGACCTCCTGGTGGAGATGAGGAACTTCATTGCCTTCCGGGCCCGTGTGGACGGCCAGGCCAGCACGCAGGAGGTTCTGCAGGAGTTCGAGTCCAAGTTATCAGTTTCCCAGTCTTGTGTCTTTCGAGAACTGTTGAGAAACCTCTGCACTTTCCATAGAACTTCTGGTGGGGAAGGAATTTGGAAACTCAAGCCAGAATACTGCTGATTAACCTTAATTTCTAAACTTTTAATTGACTTTCCAGTGGCGATTTCCAATAATTAAGACTGGTGCTCACGTCTATCAGCAGAGGTTGGCTGCATTTGATGTTTACTTGAATGATAGCTACCTCATAGTTAAAACTCTAAGGAAGAAGAAATTCTTTGGGACTTAAGGATTTATAAGCACAGGGGTTGATTTTTTTGATGCTATGAATTAGGTTATAAAACCATGGGCCTGACAGTCCTTGGACACATTTGTTCCTTTTCCCAAAAGCCACTGTCCCCGAGCATGCTGTTCTCATTGAGAAGTCTATGACCCGGAATCGCAAGAATTCTTTTCTTGCACTAAAACCTGTCTTCTATTCGGTGAGACATGCTCAATAAATTAATTTAGCAATATTTGATAACAGCATTATTTTTGGTGCTTAACTTTTTAAAATGTTGAAATTTATCATTTGCCACTTCAAAAAAGAAGAGATTTATCTTTTGAATCATCTTAATTGCCTATAAATAGTCTTTCTTTAAAGTGCTGTTGAATTGGCAGGTATTCTTGTTAGTAAAGCATGAAATAGCCCGGGGTAAACGAGACGTGCTTGTAGAAGGTTGCAGTGTACTCAGCTTTATAGCCAGCAAAGTCCCTGCGGTGACTGTGTGTTTTAGGAAAATGAAATGTTATCTTCAAAACAAAGACAAAACAAGCAGAACCAAAAGTAAGTACAGATAACACAACCAACACACGCGCGAACAAACAGCACTCCAGAGCCCACCGGGATCCGCGGTGGGTGCTGTGCGGTGAGCCATCCCAGCCCTCTCTGCTCGGCTGTGAGGTGACCTCCGGATTCCTGTCAGGGGCTGCGGCTTGCCGTGGTGCTGGGCTTTGTGTCAGGCACACTGCGCTCCTCAGGTGTGTCTGTGCTGCTTCCATCTCCGTGGCCTTGGTGGCGGCTCCAGTGGGAGAGGGGGCTTCAGCTGCTCTCACGGGCTGTCCGCCGTGTGCTCGCAGCTCTGTGACGGTGCTGTTTGAGCCTGTTTGTCCTTGTTTCTTTCTCCTTGTTACATTAAAATCTCAGCTCTGAAGTCTTAATTTTTGTTTGTGTAGAGAGTGAAAGGGAGGGTAGGAGGGGGAAAGAGAGAAACATCTGATGGTTGCCTCCCACATGTAGCCCTACTGGGACCCTTAAGTGCAGGGCCAGCGCTCTAACCACTGAGTAACAACGGCCAAGGCCTGAAGTCTTTTCTGAAAGTCATTATGTTCCTAGACTTTTTGTCCCAGGGCTATTCAGTGCTGCATGTTTGTTTCTTGGATCTGTGTTCTCTGGCTTGCTGTTGGTCCTCTCCTTTCGTGTATTATGCTGGCCTTCCTCCGGCCCATGCCTGCTGAAGAGCAGCTGTGTCCAGGTCTTCTGTACGCTCCCCCTGCCGCCGCGGGAGGGGCGTGGGGTGGGACGGCGTGGGGGCAGGAGCTCTGCGGGCCGCAGGCAGCTCTGGTGAGGACGTGTGTTACTTTTCCGCTCCGAGGTTCTGGCCAGCACCCTCTGCTTTGGCAGGAGAAGTCGAGTCACGATTACCACAGGGGTTTTCTGCTGTTCTGGGGGGATTCTGGCTTGTTCATTTCTTTTCTCTATTTATAAAGCGATTCATTATATCTCAGAGGAGAAAGGTTCTGTATTTCCCTCATTCTCCATCATTATCTAGAAGTCATGGAAGGGATTTTTAAACTTGAGTACTTGGCTCAGAAGGGAGCCCAGCTCAGGACTGTTGTTTCTGAGAAATCTTCTGGTGTTTTTATTTATGTAGTCATTAGCCTAAAAGAGATTGAAGTCCTGATACAGTTAGTCGGTGGGAAGTGTGTGTGCATCATTTGAAATCTACACTGTTCTCCTTCCTTTACTGATAAAGTTGTATCTGGACAGATGCTGCCCAGCTAAAGGCTGTTTCCACGCCTCTTACAGTAATTGTGGCCACACGACCAGGCATGGACATGAGTAGACCTTCCAGATCAGGTCTTTAACTAGAGAGAGTGCACAATCCTGTCATTCCCCTTTCTGGCTGGCTGAGATGCAAGTGCGAGCTTAAGCAGTGGCATACAATCGGCAGAAGTCGTGTTAAGGTGGAAAATTCCTTTGTCCTGTAACTTTAGAGTGAAATTAATTTCTGACTTGCTTAAATCACTGCCCTTTGGAGTCTCTATTGCAGCGGCCATTTTTGTTTATTTCAATGCATGTGATTTACATAAGTGGGATTATATCCTTATTTTGCAATTAATTTTTTCTTTAACATTATATGCAAGATGTCTTCATTCCTATAATGACACCTCTACCTTCATAGAATTGCTGGATTAAAAATCAAGTATATTTTTAATTCTAATGGAGACTAAAGGCCCGGTGCGCAAAATTCATGCATGGGGACGGTATGGGGTGAATCCCTCAGCCGGGCCTGTGCCCTCCCACAGTCTGGGACCCCTTGCTCCTTACTGCCCACCTGCTCGGGAGAGGCTCCCATCACTGCCATGTGCTCGCCAGCTGTAACCTGGCTTCTGGCTGAGCAGGAGAACCCTGACCACAAGGGGGCAGCTCCTACATTGAGCGTCTGCCCCTGGTGGTCAGTGCACATCATAGTGACTGGTCATTCTGCCATAACGGTTGCTTAGGATTTTTTTATATAGATGGAACTATCTGACAGTTGATGTGCCCCCCTGAGGGGTCCCAGGTTGCGAGAGGGTGCAGGTCAGGCCAAGGGAACCCACTGGTGTACGACCCGGACGGGGGAGGGATCTAGGAGGTTGGCCAGTTGGGAGGGACCTCAGGTTGTCCAGCCCATCTTGCTCTCAGTTTTGATCTAACCTATCTAACCTTGAGCAAGCTAACCTACTGTTTGGAGCATCTGCCCCCTGGTGGTCATAGTGAGTGGTTGAGCAGCCTTAGAATATTAGGCTTTTATTATATCCTACCTAATAAAAGATTAATATGCAAATTAATCACCACATTGCTATACCCACCAGCCAATCAGAAAGAATATGCAGATTAACCACAACAAAGATGGGTGCTGCTACAGAGAGTAGGAGGGAGGTTGGGGTTTTCCCAGCAATGGAGAAGCCAAGCTTTCCACACACCCTGGCGGGCCCAGGCCTCCACTCAAGGTTACAAAGTTTCAATTATAGAAGATAAATCCCAAGAAAAATGGCTGTAGCCACAGAACTGGAGAGAGCAGGCTAGGATTGTCCCCAGTGACAGAGGAAGCCAACCTTTCCACCTGCCCTGGCCGGCCTAGGCCTCCACTCCAGGCTACAAAGTTTGAATTATAGAAGGTAAACAAACCCCAACAGAAATGGCTGCCGTCACAGAGCGGACCAGAAGGCTTGGCTCCACTCCAGGCTACAAAGTTTCAATTGTAGAAGGTAAATTCCAGATACCAAGGCCTCCGTTTGGGTTGCCTGGAGGCATGGCAGCATGCAAACCATCACAGGCCCCTTGCCAAGGCCGACCCCTGCCCTAAGAGAATACCCACCCTGATTTAGGCAAACCAGCTGGCCCCCCACCCATGCACCAGGACTCTATCCTATCTAAAAAAAGTAATATGCAGATTGATCATCACCCCAACACACAAGATCAAGATAGCTGCCCCCATGTGGTCAAAGATCCTGTCCCCATGTGGACACAAGATGGCCACCACAAGATGGCCAGCAGGGGAGGACAGTTGGGAGGGATCAGGCCTGCAAGGGAGGGCAGTTGTAGGCAATCAAGCCTGCAGGGGAGGGCAGTTAGGGGTGACCCTGATCCAAGACATCCTCCTGGGAAAACCAGCTGGCCCCCACCTGTGCACCAGGCCTCTATCCTATCTAATAAAAGAGTAATATGCAAATTGACCACCATTCCAACACACAAGATGGCTGCCCCCATGTGGACACAAAATGGCCAGCTGTGGAGGGCAGTTGAGAGGCTCCAGGCCTTCAAAGGAGGACAGTTGGAGAGGATCAGGCCTGCAAAGGAGAGCAATTGGAGGCAATCAACCCTGCAGAGCAGTTAGGAGTGACCAGGCCAGCAGAGGAGGGAAGTTGGGGGCAAACAGGCTGGCAGGGGAGCAGTTAGACATCAATCAGGCTGGCATGGGAATGGTTAGTAGGTGATCAGGCTGGCAGGCAGAAGAGGTTAGGGGCAATCAAGAAGGCAAGCAGGCGAGTTGTTGGGAGCTAGCAGTCCTGGATTGTGAGAGGGATGTCCGACTGCCCTAAATGGGCAGTGGAATATCCCTCGAGGGGTCCCAGATTGGAGAGGTGTGGGCTTTGAAACTGTTTTCTTCTATTCAAAGGACCATACCCTACATCCTTGACAACAACAGATACTTTTTTTTTTTAAACCAATCTGTGGTTGGAAATAATCTTGCTTTTAAAACTAAAATTTCATATTTTCTTGTCATTTATAGATCCTCTATTGTATGTTGTCTGTTTATGTGATATTTGTCTAGTTTTACTCTTGGTTATTTATCTTTAAGGGTTCCTCCCCTACTACAAGCAAAAATGTAAAGGCAATTGTTTCAACTATTATTAACTAGCCCATTTCTTTTTTCATTTATTTGAAATGCCAAGTTTACCATATGATAAGTTGACCATTTCTGGACAATGGATCTAGATGTCTATTCTACCAACCATGCTCTTCACTGTCATTTGACTTCATATGTGTCTTATTGTCTATAGGCAAGTTCCCCTTGCTTCCCCCCTCTTCCATTGTCTTATTCTTGTACATATTTTAGAATTAATTTATTAAGTTCCACTAAAATTGTGGAGAATAGACTTAATTATAATTATAATTTTTCCCATTAGTATCATGATAGGTTCTTTATTAATTAAAATATTTTATGCTCTTGGATAAAATAACTATTTTTTTTTAGTAGATCCTTTGACAGCTTCTGTCATTTTTTAAAAGAATATATTTTATTGACTTTTTTACAGAGAGGAAAAGGGAGAGATAGAGAGTTAGAAACATCGATGAGAGAGAATCATCGATCAGC